CGAGGAACAGATAATTTTGGTAATGCTGTCAAAGATTTAGAAGTGTTTCAGGCGCCATATGGATATGATTCCACCTCTCTCCCCATTAAGTTACAAAAGTCACAAAAGTCACAAAAGTCACAAAAATCACAATTGGGAGCTCTTGTCCACTTTGGATTTTACACTACTTTCCTTAGCTTTCAAGAACAAATTCGAAAAGAAATCTCCAAATTATATGATCAAAACCCTGATTATAAAATTGTTGTTACTGGTCACAGTTTAGGAGGAGGTCTGTGAATAATCCTATAATTTTATTAATTCATCATTACTTTATATTTATTAAGTATTTAATTTAAATAGCATTGGCTTTGTTTGCCGCTCTCGACATTAAACAATTCATTGGAGGATGCAACCCACTTCTATACACCTACGGTGAACCTCGATGTGGGAATTCTATTTTTGCTTCATTTGTGGATAAAACTTTAGTAAGTTTCAACAAAAAATAAGGAAAAAAAGAATTGTCCTAAATGGTAACATTTAATTAAATCATTAATTTTTGTATTTAGGGTACCGTTTATAGAGTTGTTAATCAAGCCGATGAAGTGCCTCATTTGATTCCTCCAGTTAATTATCAACACCACAAAGGTGAAGTTTGGATTGCTAATACTACTGCTAACGAAGCGGTCAAATGTTCAGGCGATGAGAACAAAGTAAAGTTTTTTTTTTTTTTAAAAAAACCGATATCGATATGATCCATTTTTTAAATAATATAACTTGTACTAATTTTATTTTAATTTTTCTATCGCTATTATTTGTAGTACTGTTCTGATTCTGTTAAATTTAGCGATCGGAATTCTATAGATCACGATGGCCCATATTGGGGTGTCCTTATAAATAAGGGCTTCTGTGAATAGATTACCTTTATGATGTGATACTAAAATTTAAAATTCAAGCCTAAAAGATATACTGTACATTAATTAATAATTTTTTACTACATAATAGAATATTTTAATTTTTTTTTACATATAAAACAATTTTTATTAAAAATATTTTATAATTATTTTAGTATCTATAACTAAATACAATAAATATTTACAATAAAGTTTAATAATAAAAATTTTCAATAGGACAACCGAACAATAGAATGGAATAGTAAAAAAAAACAATAGAACAATCGACTTGCCACCCTTGTTGGATTAACAGGCCTTTATTATTCTAGACTATTTCTAATAATACACTTACCAAAGAAAAATCTTCCAAGCTACTTCTGTACTTATTAAAAAGTTGGTTTGAGAAAGATATTGGAATCTAAATTTAAAATAGTTTATTTTAAAATAAGTGTGATAGCTGAAACTGTGATTACCTGAAGCTGGCACTATTGAGGATCGCTTTTCCGTTCACGTGATTTCCGAGATCACTCTGGCGGTGCGTGCCAGGTATGTCGATCATGTGGCGCAGGCAAATTTTTTTGAAGTTTATTAATGTTAGGGTTAGGGTTGGTTAGAGGTTAGGTAGTTATAGTAAAATCGTGGTTTTTTTTTTTTTTTTTTTTTTTTTTTTTTTAAAGAGAGGTCTATCCTCTATCTCTTTTATTAATAGTTGATTATAC